GACCAGATCCTCCCGGAGGCCGAGGTGCGCCTGGGCCAGACCGGCTTCATGCAGCGCCAGTTCGGGGCCATGCTCCAGCCCGGGGTCAACAAATTCTCTCTGCGGATGTTCGGCAGTCAGAAAGCTGTGGAGCGCGAGCAGGAGAGGGTTAAATCGGCCGGATTTTGGATTATCCACCCCTACAGCGACTTCAGGTAAGGGGCGGCTGCGGTCCTGCCATCCAGCCATCCTGCCGCCGGCCTGCGCGTTTCCTCTCGTGTCCCTGCCTCCCAGCTGGAGTTAACTTTCCTTCCTTGCGCTGGGAGCTCCGAGAAGCGGGGTGCCTCTAGCTAGGCTCAGAGACACCCCCAGACTTCCTGCGGCAGGGCGCTGGGAACTTTCCTGTGTGTTCAGGCTCCAGTCTTCTCTGTCTGGGCCGCATTGGAGACAGGCTGAGAAGGTGTTCTGAGCCTGGCCTAGCCTGGCGGTAGCCAGAACATGGCACTACCACCTTAAATCACACCCCCAAAGGCTGCAGAGTCAGGGTGGACAGGAGTGGCAGCTCCGGTCATTCTACTGCAGATCAGGGCCAAGAGGGGCGCAGACCTCTTTGCTGATCACAGGCCTTTTTTCCCTACCCTGGGAGGCTGCAGCCCGGCCCCTGGAGGACTTAGGTCACCAGGGCCTCAGGCCCAGGAAGAAAGTGCCCTGAGCCCACCTGCACCCTGGGCCTGGCCCCCCATGCCCACTGGTTTACCGGGAGCCAGCGTGCTGGGTGGCTGGCGTCCGGCTGCAGGGCTGCGTGACCTTGTCCATGGTGGTCAGTGAAGATGCCTGCTGTCCTGACTGGTGAGCACCTGTCCCGTGACCCTGAGCTACCCAGTGGCCCGTCCCTACCCCAATGGCCCAAGCTCCAGCAGCTGCTAGGTCTCTTGTAGGTGAGTTGTGGGTCCCCAGAGGTGTGACTGTCAGCCAGAGAGAGGTGCCCTGCCCCCTCCTGCATCACCTGAGTGAGAAGGCACTGAGCAGCAGATGTCACTGGGGCCTGTGAGCCTGCCCATGCAAAACGAGGCCCTGCTCATTCCTCCGGGGTGGGGATCTGGGGTGCCCTCCCCCTAGCGAAGGTCCTAAGGTTCCCCAAGCCCTGCGGCGCTTTTCTGGTAGACAAGATTGAAAAGAAGCTCTGGGAAGCAGTCACTGTTTGAGCTGGTTTGAGGCTCCTCTCTCTCCACGGGCCCTGCTGGGCCCTCCCTTCCCTCCCTGGCCTGCTTGCCTGCCTATAGAAATGAGCACTTGGCGAGCCCAGAGCCCTCTTTGCAAACTCCAGGGAAGCTGGATTTGTAATGAGAGCGAAGCCATTTTCCGTCCAATGAGAGAGATTTTTCGTGCTGGGAATGGCCAGTCAGACAGCACTTGATGGCTTAAAATAGGTGCTGCACGGAGGTCCCCCTCCCTGTTTTCTTTTGAGGGACTGTTCTTCCTGACCCTGGTATCTGAGGTCCCCATCCCCAGAGGCTGACCAGGCTGAGCTGCAGTCAGAGGAGCAGATCTGGGACCCTCCCATCAGGAACCACGGCCAGGTTCCCAGGCCAGATTCCTGAAGAGGGGCCAGGACAGGGGCCTGAGGCGCCTAGGCTGAGCTAGGGAGGATGGGCAAGAGCCGGGTGCCCTAGGCTTCTCCTGTGCCCTCGCAACTCCTTGGTGGTGGTGATAGGCTTTCCACATCAACCACTTGAGACCGCTGAGGGCCCTGCCCTCCCTCCCTCAGCTCCCTCTGCCTGCTGTTGCAAAGCTTCTGCTGGAGAGTCTCACGTCCAGGCCCCTGGTCTGCAGTGGGAGCTGTAGGGGCCCAGCCCAGGCATGTCTCGCCCCCCTGGTGACAAGCACTGGTTGAGGGCTCTGGGCACTGGGCCTTGCCTTGCAGTTCCCCACACTGGGATGGGCAGAGGTGGGAGGGAAAACTCCCGCCTTCCTGATAGCACTTCTGCCCATCCTGGTGGTCTGTCTGCAGTCCCCCTGGTGCAGACTCTCCCTCTAACTGCAGGCCACCTAGGACACAGCGGTGGCTGGGGAGGCTGGTGGGCTAGGGAGGGGGATGCAGTGGGATTGATCTGTGGTGACAGGCTGGGCTTGGGATGTGGTCCGTGCAGCAAGCAGCGGGCACTGGTGCTGGGCCGCCTCTGCGCAGCTTTGTAGCTGACCCGTGCCGAGTGGTGTGTAAGGAAAGAAACCCAGGAAAGACCACACGTGTGTGCGCACGTGCACGTGTGTGCCTATGGGGCAGGGGATGGGGGGCGTGCCTGTCCTGCCTCTAGGTCAGAGCAGCTAGTCTAGTCTCATTTCCAGAAGGTCAAACAGGCAAGAGCTTGGCTAAGTCTCCAATCTTAGAAAACTTACTGCTCACCCTGACCTGGGCCCCCACCCATCCCCTAGCAGCCTTCCCAAGCCTGGGTCCCTAGAGTTTCACCCCTGGTCTGGGCCACCACAGGGAGCCAATCCCCTGGCCCACCTTCGGGCTTCACGAGAGCTTCTGCAAGCTCAGGCCAGTTGAGGATTTATTCATCATTTTGATGGGCAGGAAGCATTGATCCAGCAGAATTGGTTTCATAAAGAATCGCCACCAACCATGATGGATGGAGTTTGTGGTTTAGAGTTCAGGGCTCGCCGCTGGGCTGCTTCCGGCCTCGCCTTCCCTGGGGAGGTGCACGGGGTGCCTTTTCCAGGGTGGAGAGGGCTGGCTGCACTTTGGGGACCAGCCGGGCCTGGGCTGTGCACCCAACAGACTCGGCTGCTTCCGCTGCTCACCACTGAGTTCCCCCACCCTCTCACCCAGCTCTAAGCCCTACCACCATGCCCAGCTAACCCCAAGGCTCCCCCGGGCCCCGCAGACTCATCTGGCCTCTTCCCCCCACCAACTCCTCATTGGTCTTTTGAAACTTGCATTTAGAGTCTGCCCGGAGAAGAGGGCAGGATGTTGACCTCAGGACATGGCTCCCCAGGTTCCAGGCGGGCCTTGGGTCCTAGGTAGCTCCTTACTTCCACACGAGCTGCTGCCTGGGAGCCAGGCTTGGTGATAGGGACCCGGGACAAGTAAACATGGTACCCTGTTCTCCCGAGGGGAGGTGTTCCCAGAAGGTGGTCAGCCTTTGGAGCGTCGGGCTCAGGGAGTTGGCCTGGGCGTCAGTCTGAGTGGGTGTCTTGGGGCTGTAGGAGGCGGCGGGGCTGGCAGAGAAGTCCCCATGTAGGATGGTGGTTCTGGGGCTACTTCTGGGTCCAGATGCTAGCTCGGCCTTATGGGTGGAGACGGCTGGAGCTTGGCCTTCTCCTCTGCCCCCCCATTCCTCCCTTCTCCCAGTCTGAGCCTCCTGGAGACCTGGGGGCAGGGCAGGGCAGGGCAGGGCAGGGCAGGGCAGGGCAGGGCAGGGCAGAGCAGGGCAGGGCAGGCCTGGCCTTCAGTGTCTTGTCTTGGGGGAACCAACAGCTGGGCTCTGAAATCATGGAAACTGGGCCAGTTTCCTGGCAGGTCCCAGCGGTGGCCTGAGCTGACTTCTGGCCCCTGACGCCCAGTCACTGTAATTACTGGGCTCACGTTACTTCCCCAACTCTGCTGTGGGGCCCTGCTCGGGCTAGGAGCCAGCCCTTAGCCTCAGCTTTCCTACCCAGAAAACGGGGCTCCTGTTGCCTTTTACCATGTCAGATGCAGGCTGTACAGCGGGGTCACTCATGGGAGAGAGAAGCTCTGGAGAGCTGTGGCAGGCCAGGGATGCTCAGTGGCCACGCCCCCTCGTCCTCACTCCTTCCGTCCTTCTCGGGCCTCTCCCCTCTGCCCAGGCCGAGGGCTCTGAACCTGCTTGCCGTGAGGGACCTCACTGAGAACCTGCCGCGGACCCAGAGTCTATCTGGAAGAGAGGGACGCCCAGATGCATGCAAAGTGACACTCGATTTCTTGTGTTTGGGACCCCCTAAGTAGAGGACCATCTGGGGGCATTATGAACTTCACCGTAGGCCCTTTCAGAAGAGCACTGGGCCTGGCGGGGGCCGTGCTGGCTGCAGGAGCTGCCCTCTGGGCCTAGCGGGCCCCCCTCTATTGAGGCGACTGGTCCCCCATTGCCTGAGGATGGAACTGAAAACTAGAGTCAGAGTTGGGCCCCTGATGCGGAGAGGTGTTGTGCTCAGGCCTGCTCTCTGCCGTCTCCCACTCTCCCTGGCTCTCTCCTTTTAACCCTGTGAAGGACTGTGCAGGCAAGAGGAGGTGCGGAGGAGGATCAGGGTTCAGAGGCCCTGTCTTGGGTGGGCCTGGACACCTCGCCTGCTCTCTGGGTGGGAAGCCGAGCCAGGAGCCACAGGCCTGGCTGTGCCAGAAGGGGCAAGGGTGCTGGTGCCAGGGCAGTTCCCAGGTGAGCTGCCTGGGTGGGCTGGCAGCTGGCACCCTGGGCGGGGGAACTGTGCCCCTGCCTCCCATGAGGCTGGGGGAGGGAGGGAGGGGCCGAGGTGCTGCTAGGGAACCAGGGTTCCAAGAGTGGTAGAGGCAGAGGGCTGGGACCCTCCTGAGGCCTGAGTGGAGAGGCCTGAGCTCCAGGTGCTCCAGTTGCAAGGTTCCTGGTCACCTGGTAGGACATGAGAACGGGGAGGCTGAGTCTTCCCTGCCTGGGCCTGCCCTCTGCGGCTCCTCTGCCTTACACTGGAGTGTCCACCAGTGCTGGGCCTAGTGGGGGCCTGCCTACTTCCCCGTCCACCCTGTCTCCCTGCTTAGGGCCTGGCTTCCCCGGGTCTCTTGGGGTGCCCTCTCCAGCCACTCGGCTCGCATTCAGCTCTCCCTCCTGTACCCGACACTCTGCTGGAGCTCTGTGTTCGCATAACGCAGCTCCTCATGTTCTGTCATCCAGCTTGGTGGGGAGCTTGTTAAAGGCCCAGGTTGTGACCGTGGGCCTGGGGTGGGGTCTGAGGGTCTACGTTCCAGGACGTGTCCCAGTGGAACCAATGCTGCCAGTGTGCAGCCGAGGACGCGTGGTGCTGAAGTCGTTTCTCGGCTATCCATGCTAGGCCTGGGCGCTCTGAGGGCAGAGCCTCTGTCCCCTGCCTCCGGCCTCAGAGTCCTTAGGTCCAGGTCCAAGCCCACCGAGGCGGGGCGATGGTGAGGCCTGTGGTCTGGAGACTTGGTGGGTTCACAGCTCACGTCTTTCTCCTTTCCTGCCCCGCTGCCCTGGACGCCCAC